AAAAACAAAAAGACCAAAAAATCGGAATAGGGTTGGGCAAAGACACAAAAGTGTGATGTGAATATTTTAGTACATGCTGGATGAGGGCAGGAGAGAGAACTGAATAAGAATGTTTTTTTTTCATAAAGTAAGTTTTGAAAGAAAGTTCTAAGATGTTGATTTGGACTATAGATTTAAGCTTGAATTGTTTTATGCTAACTTTTGTTTTTTTTTTTAAATACATTGTGTTTGATTTTCTTTTTTTGGTCTTTTTGTTTTTAATATTTTTATTTAATGTGTATGAGTGTATTGCTTGCATGTAGGTAGGTGCACCCATGTTGTGCAATGCCCTCGGAGGTCAGAATAGGGTGTCAGATTCCCTGGAACTAGAATTACAGTTGTTAGCTGCCATGTGGATACTGCAAGAACAGCCAGTGCTCTTAACCGCTGAGCCATCTCTCTAGCCTCTTTTTTGGTTTTATTGAGACAGGGTCTCCCTGAAGCCCCAGCTGGCCTGAAACTCACTATGGTAACCAGGCTGGCCTTGATCTCACAGAGATCCACCTGCCTCCCCCTCCCCATGTCCTGGGGTTAAAGGAGCACCACACCTGACTATGTTGGATTGTTTTTAGGGAACAGACTTCTTTTTTCCTTTTTGATATGAAATCTTACTATGTTATTCCAGGTGGCCCCAAACATGCCACCCTCCTACCTTGGCCTTCTGAGTAGGTGGCATTACAGGTTTGTGCCACCAAACCTGGCTCTAGGAAATAGATTTGATAGCATTTTGCAGTATGTGTTTGACCTTTTAAAACTGCCCCCCACACACACACACACATAGAGTATGCCTTGCATAAACAGAGGTATTATATAAAGAAGGGATTTGCAGCTGTGACCCACCAGCTTGCGGCCTGTTAGAGTCTTACTGGAACACAGCCATGCTTACTTGTTTTTTGTATTGCCTGTGTGGCTTTTGTGTATAGCAGAACTAAGTAATTGCAACAGATTATATGGCCTGCAGACTCTGAAATATTTACTGTCTGCTTCTTGCAGAAAGATCTTGGTGACTCTTTGTATGAGTAATAGAATAGATGAACACCCGTGTGCATATTGCTATTGATTCAGAATTCTTTATCAGGATATCAGATTATCAGTATCTATGAGTGTGCATCATTGATTGCCTCCTCACATTTCTCAGCAGAGGTAAATTGCTGGAATTTTCTTTTTCTTTTCTTTGAAGACAGACTCTCACTATGTAGCCCCCGCTGGCCTGGAACTTGGTATATCAACCAGGCTGGCCTGAAATCCACCTGCCCCTGCCTCCTGAGTGCTGGGTCTAAAGGTGTGTGCCACCTCACCTGTCTTGGGTTTTTTCATTAAAGCTGAGGCCAAGCAACCTAGAGGTGTATGAAGGAAAAGATTGTGATCACTCTCTTCCCCAACCTTATCCTCCAAGGTAACTAGTGTTATTAATTTGCTTATTCTTTTGTAATTTTCTCCATGATCATGCAAAGAATATACTAACATATATTTGACAAAAGTTACAGAGCAAACAATGATTTACTTGTGACAGTACTATTAAACTGTCTTTTTGTCTTTTGTCAGGTACTGTGCCATCATTTAACATGCATTGATGATAGCTTCTGAAATTAACCCTGTGAAAGCAGTGTTATCGTCATGTTATAAAGGAGAACGGTCAGCTAGGAAGTGGGCAACGAGAATTCAAGTACAGCTTGGTCAATACAAATCCCTTTGGTACTTGCCATAGAGTACTTTCTGTTCCCAGGGGATTGCTATAGGTACTCTCCTAACTGTATTGTAAAGCTTAAAAGATGGGAGAGGCAGAGATTGAGTTCCATGTTTAACAAAGAAGACTGAAGCCTGAAAGAATGTTGAACCTAAGATTTTTCTGTGAATACAGTGTATTTGCAGCTTGAATGCAGGCGATCCCCTGCCCCTTTCTTTCCTCCACTTTTTTTTAGGGGATTGCTATAGGTACTCTCCTAACTGTATTGTAAAGCTTAAAAGATGGGAGAGGCAGAGATTGAGTTCCATGTTTAACAAAGAAGACTGAAGCCTGAAAGAATGTTGAACCTAAGATTTTTCTGTGAATACAGTGTATTTGCAGCTTGAATGCAGGCGATCCCCTGCCCCTTTCTTTCCTCCACTTTTTTTTTTTTTTTCCTTTTTCAGAACCCTCTGTGTTCCCCTACTCTTTTGGGACTCTGGATTTGACTCTACTTTTTGTGACTTTGTGCTCATGGGGAGCTGCCAGGATTATTAGAATTGGGGCAGCTAGAAGACAGGGAATTTTCAGATTTTCCATCCTTGAAAGCCAAATGTTTTTGGTACACTCATCCCTACCCTAGATTCCCCCCTCTCCTATAGGTCTTTCTCCCTTCCTCCCTCTCCTATTAGCATTTCTGCTTAGGCAAAAACGTAAGCCATATAATGCATAGTTCCTGTTGGACCACCAGAATAACCATTGTCTTCTAAAAATACCAATAGCTTATTTATTTATTTATTTATTTATTTATTTATTTATTTATTTATTTATTTATAGTCAGACTCTCGTCCAAGCTAGCCTGGAATTTTCGATCCCCCTGCCTCAGCTTCTCCAGTGCTAGGATTACAAGTGTGAACCACCACAACAGCTTAAGAGCTGGTGTTTACTGCTAGGGTTTTTGACTCCGGTGTATATTCAAACAGATCACTGGCGAAGATACTACAATACCATGGGACAGAATTTGGAAATAGCTAGAAGAATTGATCCAGCAATTCTGTTTTTCGGGGCCTATGCTAAAGATCTAGTAGCAAAAATATAAAAAGTCTGTGCATAAAGGTTCATGGTGATATTATTTGAAACAGCAAAAAGAAGAAAACTCAAATGTCTGTCGTTAGGGTACTAGTTGAATAATTGTGTTAGGTTTGTAAATGAGATATTTTTCAGCAGTACCAAGAAATGATCATACATAGTACTATGGAGAAATTCTGGGACATTAAGTTATTAATAACTTGTTATTAAGTAAAAATTGCAAGGTGGAGAAAGTCTAATGGGCTTGGGATGTAACGCAGTTAGTTGAGTGATGGCTTAGCATCCACAAGGCCTTGAATTCAATCCCTAGCATTGTACAAATCAGGGTGGCACATGCCTGTAATCTCAGCACTTTGGAAATGGAGGCATAGGGTCAGAAATTCAAGCTCCTCTTTATCTGCCAGCAAGTTGAAAGCCAGTCTGGGCTACCTAAGTCTCAAAAACAAATGAACAGATCTTCCTGATCTTAGATGTGGCAGAGTCTTCTTAGATAATGTCACCACAGAACAGATCAGCTGAACGTCATCCAAATTAAAACCATTTGTGTTTCAGAGGAAACTGTCAAGAAAGTATAATAGGTGCTAGA